TAGGGGGTCTAGGGGGGACCTATTTGAGGGATATACTACAACTTTAGTCCAGAGCTTATCCCCTTTTCTAGAGCTTAGCATGGGCCCCTAATTATTGGAAGCCAGACTTTGCAATGAACCGTAAACCTCAACCCCAGACCCATAAATTCTGATCCTGTGCGGCTTGGATTTATTGGTCAACTTATTGGTCAGGGCCGGGCGTTTGGAACGGAAGGCTTTTGGATGCTTAGGCTTCGCTTTTCAACGACCCTCCCCCAAACTAATACGGAACCCGAACTGTGGTTTAGCGTTTAAGGCTTTGAGTTTAGGGTTTAACAAGACTCTTTTATGAACAGTAACATGAAGTTCCACGTGAATCTGCGGGAGGGTATGAGTTTGGGGTCCGTGGCGCTGTTCTGGTCTCTTTTTAGGCCTTCACAGTGGCAGGCCAGCCAGGTTTCCCAGTGCTAAGTGGGGAAAGCCAAGCTTGAAAAAGTCTCTTGACTTTGTGGGTTTATGTTTAGGGTTATGGCCTTGGGGTATGTAAAGGGATTCCATGGGGTTATATAGAGCTGTATATGGGTTAGGAGTTTCACTTGGAGGCATCCAAAAATGGTACTTGGAGGCTGAAAATGGAATTGGGTCCCCCTTGCTGGGAAACCCTCAACCCAAGCCCTAAATCCCAGACCCTTAATCCTAAGCCGACAGCCCTAAACCATCCTAAACCATAAATGTTACACCCTAAGCCCCAAACCCCAAATCCTAGAACCCTAAGTGGTCACACGTTGGTATTGGCCCGTAGTTTTTCCTGCCACCGGGTTGCAGGTCAGAATGTTGAATGTCACAAAAGTGCCACACCTGCCATTGTTCTGGGGGTTGCATGGTTCAAAGGACTATTCGTCAGCTTGTACAATGTCATGTCCTAACACTTAGGGCATGTCGGATGTAGCCTTTTTCAGGAGATCCCAAGAAAAGACACTTGGCTAAAGCATTCTTGGGATCTCCTGACAAAGGCTACATCCGACATGACCTAATTTTTACGACATGACATTGTACAAGTTGACGAATAGCCCTTTCCAACCATGCACCCCCTGCAAAACCATGGTAGGCATGGCATTTCTGTGGCAATGAAAAATTCTGACTAGAACATTTGCACAGAAGCCCATGCAATGACCCAGCCGATGCGTGTCTTAAGGTAGAATCAAATGAACATGTCGGCATTATGACCGCCCCCCTGCCCCCCTCCCCTTTCCCCCCAAAAGCCATGCTTCGCCGCACGAAAACACGCGGTCCAATACCAACGTGCCTCGCCCTAAGTCCCACCATCCTAAAGCCCTAATCCCTGAAGCTGTGGCGTTTGCCTCAGAGCCGATTTCCACAATGTCCACGGGATCCTTAGTGCAGCAGGCTTTCTGGGTTTAGGACCCATCCTAGTGGTTTTAGGGCTCAAGGTTAAGGGTTGAGGGTTGAGGGTCGCCCCAATGGCTTCAGGGTTTAAAGTCAGTGTTGCTGAGAAAAGGCTGAGGGTGTAGAAGCTTGGGTCCGAAAAGGGTTTTGGGGTCAGGGGTTTAGGGCAGGGAGTCTCTCAAAAAGGGTTTAAGGGTTTAGGGCTCAGGGTCAGTCACAACAGGCTCAGGGCCGAGCGCCAGGTCACGACAACCTGATAGGAGCCACGAACCCGAATGCGAACAACTGGCCCCGACACGTATGTGTCGAAGATAGCATGCGCCACGCGCAACACAGTTCGGGAAACTGATATTCGGGACCCCCAAGTGATAAAGGACTCTCCTCTCTCGCTTTCTCTCTCTCTGTCTCTTCTCCCTCCTCTCTCTCATCTCTCTGGTCTCTCTCTCTTCTCTCTCCTCTCTCTCTCCCCATTCCACACCTCTCCTCTTCTCTTCTCGTTCTTCGCTCCACTTCTCTGCTCTCTGCTCCCTGCACTTTCCACCCTTCTCCACTTTCCACTCCCACTGTCGTCTCCACCCCTCCCCACCTCTCCCCTCCTTTCCTCTCTCCAAGTCCCCTGTGCAAATATGGACACGAGACCCTGTTCATGGCCACCTGGCACTGCTCAGAACACTTGGTCTTCTGAATCAGCGTCGGGCGCGCAAGGGTAATTTACTTTCTGCTGCCTCCGAGTCTTGCAGTCCATGCATTTGCTTCATGAGGAGTACTAATGACTAATAGTCTTCGCTGACCCTGACCATCCTCCAACAACCCTCATACTGAAATCCCTATCGACCCTGCACCCTGACCCCTCCATCCTAGACGCGCCGCCCGAAATCCTAAAATGGGTGCCCAGCATTGTCGCCGGCGCAGTTCGTCTCCTTGTGGGTGACGTTGGGATCCTGGACATGGCAGAAGCATGACATGAGTGGGTTTGGGGCTTAGGGCATCTCAAAACAAGTTGGAGTATCTGAGGGATCCGATGGAGCTATGGGAAATGATGAGAAACGTCTTGTTTCCCTCTTTGGAGTTGTATGGGGTTTGTTTTGAGAAAGCCCCATGTGGGCTACGTTCTAAATGCCTAGCATCCCCCTTAATAACCCTATCATACTGCCCTATACGATCCCCTATATAACCCCCTATAGTTCATATGGTGTTAACGCTGAAACTCATCGTCCAGCCTAATGTGGATGGGCAGAATATGACTTCCATGCGCCGAAACCCTGAACATTGTGGTGGCATTGAGCGACAACATCCTGCATGACCCTACGTAAGCCTTATACCTGAGCTTTTGGAATTATGGCACAACAGTGTACAAGGGGTCATGCGAGCTTTGCTCCATCAACCATGTGCTAGCTCAGTCTAAACTCCTAGTATCCCCTTAATAGCCCTGAAAATGAACCTGAGCCTTACACCCCAAGACCTACGCCCTGAACCTCAACCATAGACCCGAAGCCCTGAATCCTAAAGCCCCCAATCCCCAAAGCACCGGCTTTGACTTTGGTATGGAAGCCCCGGAACCCGAGGCCTCCCACGTCTGGGGGAGCATGCCTGAGGAAACCCAATGTCTCTAAGTGGCACTTAGGACCCCTACTAAGGGTTATCCCTTAGGTACCTATAATAAAGTATAAGGGAAGTCCAAAGGGTTAAGGGTCTAAGGTCCAAGCTAAGTCCCAAGGAGGTCTGTAAGAGCTAAACGGGGATCTGCTTCTGGACCTCTCGATTTGGGATGAGGGGTTTGAGGGGTTTAAGGGGTTTAGGGTAGAGGGCTTCAGGTTTGACAGTTGGGATCTAGCATTTAGGGATTCTCTAAGGGACTTGGAACCCCAGTAGAAATTATAATTTCAGCTAAATATTAGGATTCTAGGTAACAGAAATTAAAAACTATTTTCAGGAACCTTGTGGGATTGGGTTTTTCAGAGAAAGGATGCCTGGCTTTCTTAAAGGGTTTTCATGGATCATGTCAAGACACTCCCGAAGAAGCTGCCCGGGGAGCCTTGAGTTGAGAGTGGCAGATGAACCCTAAAGCCACCAAGGAGGGGTTTAGGGTTTAGGG